TAATAGCAAGGTGCTTAGCAAATCAGTGAGACCCTGTCTCCAAATAAAATACAAAATAGGGCTGGGGATGTGGCTCATCCCATGGGTGGGGTCCTCCTGAGTTCAATCCCTAGTACGGGGAAAAAAAAAAAATGGAGTAATACAGAAATCCAGAGCTAGGGCTGGGGCTGGGGCTGGGGCTGAGTGGTAGAATGCCTGCCTCGCACATGAAGCACTGGGTTCAATCTTCAGTACCACATAAAAACAGATAAATAGGGATATTGTGTCCATCTACAACTAAATCCAGAGCTAATAAAAGAATAGTCCTCTACCCTGCCAACTTTAGTATAGCAAGCTCTCTAACACTAAGCTACATTCCCAATCCTTTTTATAAATTTTAAAATAGGATCTCCCTAAATTGCTCAGTCTGGCCTTGAACTTGCAATCCTTCTGCCTCAGTTTCCCAAGCAGTTGGGATTGTAAACTTGCATCATCGCACCTAGCTAGTTCTATCTTTAGATCTGGAGAGGAAAGAGGTAGAAGCTAAAGAGGGCCGCTTGATAGGAACTCTGGTCTTTGGGGGACAATCCATGTGACCTTGCCAGTAAGAAAGCCAAAGGAATATATTTTTACCATCCTTTCCTGATGTCTTTTTTTTTTTTTAATATTTCATTTTTTTTAGCTTTCAGCGGACACAACATCTTTGTTTGTATGTGGTGGTGAGGATCGAACCCTGGCCACAGGCATGCCAGGCGAGCGCGCTACCTCTTGAGCCACATCCCCAGCCCTCCTGATGTCTTTTGATCTTTGGGTTTACTAGTTGGTTACATATAACCTGAAGTCAGAAGGCAAGGGGTCCTGTTGATATAGTCCATGAAAATTTATGCCTCCTAGGGCCCAGGCAGCATGAAAAGTGGTTTTGCTTTGGGGATTGAAAATACTCAGCACCAACTCTTCCCCAACATTACTCATATTGTTATACACAAATTTGCATGTATGCTGCAACTAAAAGAACTTTTCAGAATTTCTGATTTCAAAATTCTATAAATTCTTCAATTAAAGCTGCATTCCCCCCCCCCTACATTACCTTTTTGTTTTTAGATATAGTGACAGTAGAGTGTATTTTAGAGTACAACCCATTCCAATTAGGATCCCATTCTTGCAGTTGTATAATGTGGAGTCAGACTGGTCATGTATTCACATATGAACAAAGGAAAGTTATGTCCAATTCATTGTACTGTCTTGAAGCTGCATTTTTCTCAGTATTTTTGTACCTTAAGCACATGCATAGACACAGGCAGCCCTGGGCCTGGTGCCAGAGAAGATGAGTTAAGTCTCAGGTTAACTCCTGAATACTGACTGTAAGGATCTCTGAAAGATTTTTTGAGAATCTAGAACTAATTTAGAATCAATATTAGGATTTTTCTGTTTAGGTTCTATTCATTAGGAATTAAGGAACTAGATGTTTTTTTTTTTTTTTTGGCAGTACTGAAGACTGAACCCAGGAGTGGGGTGCTCTACCACTAAGCTACATACCCAACCTTTTTTTATTTTGAGACAGCCCCGGAACTAGATTTTCTTAAACTCAAAAAATCCTATGAGGGCTGGGGATGTGGCTCAAGTGGTAGCGCGCTCGCCTAGCATGCATGCGGCCAGGATTCGAGCCTCAGCACCACATACAAACAAAGATGTTGTGTCTGCCGAAAAACTAAAAAATAAATATTAAAATTCTCTCTCTTTAAAAAAAAATTAAAACTTTCAATGCATATTTTTAAAAAATCCTATGATACTAAAACTTCCTACAATCCTACTGAAACAGTAAAATTTTAACTTTCTAATCAAAAAGAATAAAAGAAACCAGGACATCAATTTCACATTGACATTTTTATTAACGCCAACCGTTTTTTAATTATTATTTTTTTAAAACAATAGCACAAAAATGTTTCAAGGAAGCAGTCTCACAATCTGATGACCTTCTGAAATACAGTTAAGCCACACCAAATATGAATTTCTGTTAACACAAAAAAAATTAAAAAAAAAAAAAGAAAAAGAAAAGGAAAAAAGAAAAAAGTAGGTAAAGAGGAAGGGAAGGGAATGAAATTTAGAGTTAAAACTTATTGGATTAGGTAGGTGAGGCTTGTTAGTAGGATATACTGTTGAAGCAGAGTGGCACACATAGGCTTATAGTCATTGTTTTTGAAACCAGTTACCACTATTATATAGGCCCCGTAGCAGTTACCACTGGCTTTTTGCACGCAAAAAAAATGAACCAGGAGAAGCCAGAGTTGACTTGATACTGTTATGAAGAGGTTCAATAGTTGGCGTGTTAGACAACTAAGACCATTTTTAGCAGAATAACTCCTTCAGGAAGGACTGGCTAAAAATCATTTTATTACTATTGTCTCACCTATATGCATTTTGGGGTTCTTAAAAGTCATCTTAAAAAAGGAAGAAAAATAATGTATATCAGTTTCTCTTATTTAATGTGGCTATGAAAGATGTTTTCTTAATATTTCTTTCTCTCTAAGAAGGACATCGGGGTCAGGTTGGGGGCTGGAGTAGAACTACAGGAGGAAAAACCCAGAGAGGGTAGAGGATTTTTTGTTTTTACCTTTTTTTTTTCTTTCTCATTTTTTGGCCAAGGGGTCACACAGAAGGGAGGCAAGGAGGAAAACTACAATCCTTGGTTCAGATTGAGTTATGCAGGAAAAGTTATCTTCCTGGTCAGTCCCCATGACAAAGAAAAAAAAATTTTTTTTTTTTTTTTAAATATGCACAGACTTGGACTATGTTATACCAACCATTAGCCTTTCATATTTAGCCATTCCCAGCAATGCACAACACTATCCTGGGCTTGTAGGCTGCTTGCAGAACCCACTGCACAAAAATTCTCTTCCCTAGAAGCCTCTAGTTTGTTTTGGTAGGTTATAAAAACAGAACATCTGTCATTAACAAGAGTGTTAAATACTTTTAACCACTGACAAGGCTTCAGGAAGTTTCACAGTTTCATTATGCTCTACTTTATTACTATCATATTTACATTTTTATTTTTATTTTATTTTTTGCTGAATTGCTGATTTTCCTTTTTCAATAGAATTTAATTCTGGAGTGTGAGCAGGAACCAGTTAACTACATTCATTGTCCAACCCCCACTGGTTTGAAAGAAGACTCCGAATTCTTGGCATATGAATCAGCTGTTCGGTAGCTCCACCTTATCCTGGCAGCGAAGCAGCAGAAGAGCCGCAGCAGTGGCTGCTCAGGGTTCACACTGCAGGTGGGGAGGCTTTTCTCTGAAGGAGGTACTGGTGGATGCTCTCAGCATCTCGCTTTAGCCAAGCAGCATTCAGCAGGATATTTTCACAACACTGCTGGATGGTACGCTCAGCTGAAGGAGCTGGGTGACTCTCGAAGAAAGCCTGGTGTAAGAAAATCCATAGTGTAGAATCATTGCTAGCAAAAGCAAGTTAATATCAAAGCTATGAAAAAGTACCCACTGGCCTACATATAGGATTCATTAGCCACAGTCATTAGAATTAACTGCTGCTACCCTCAGGCTAAAACAAACAAATACTTGGGTCTGCATATAAGAATTCTCCCCCAAATATCAAAAGTACAAAACCTAATCAAGAGAGACAGAACCTACTGCCTTTCTCTTAGGGTAATTGCTTAGTGGTTAATCTAGGCTTTGGATTTAGATGTAGCACTCAAATCTAGGCTTGGTCAAAATACCAGCCTGTCACTTTAAGTAAATTAACTACTCTAAGTCTCACTTTTCTCATCTGTGAAAAAATATGCACACCAAAACTTGAGACAACTGAAACATTTGGCAAAATACCTGGCACACAGGACTCGTGAACTCAACACGTTCTGACACATTCTGACTGTCGCAAATAAAGATCAATTTATAAGGAATGATAAAACTAAAGAATTTTAAATTGCTGTTTTATACTATAATACTTCAGAGTCTCATATTTTTCATAGAATAAACAATTTTTTCTGCTGGTACTGGGGACTAATCATGGGGTGGTCTACTATTGAGCTACATCCCCAGCCCTTTTTATTTCAAGACAGAGTTTTGCTAAATTGCCAAGGCTGGCTTTGAATTTGCAATCCTATTGCCTCAGTCTCTTGAGTAGTAGAGATTCCAGGTGTGTGCCATCATACCCAGCTAAATAAAACTATTTCTGTTTATTGTAATTTATCAAAATGCTTAAATAGGTTGGCACTTGCCTGTAATCCCAGCAGTGAGAGGCTGAGTCAGGAGGATCGTGACAAAGCCAGCCTCAGCAAAAGCAAGGTGCAACTAGTGAGACCCTGTTTCTAAATAAAATATCAAATAGAGCTGGGGATGTGGCTCAGTGGTCGAGTGCCTCTGAGTTCAATCCCAGGTAACCCCTCCTCCCCCCAAAAATCTTAAAAGTCAAACCATTTTTTAATGAAGTACACTTAATTTTAATGAAAATAAAGCAGCTCTTAAATACCAACCTGCAAAATGATAGGGGTCTTTCCTTTAAGCTAGTCATCATAGGTGTAGAAGAGAAAAATGACTATTTCATAAGATTAACTCTAATCTTTTAGAAATCAATTTACAAGGATGACAATGGCTCTTGCTTCAAGGCTTCTAATTATGGCTGGTTTCTTAGTGACTAAGTTAAAGTTGGATACAAGTCTTCCAGTTCCATCTCCAACAAATAGTACCAACATTTATATACCAGAAACCTGGGAATTATCTTTGACTTTCCTCCCAGACATGTTCACAATACAGAGAAACCACTTGGTAAATATTGTTAAAACTAAAGATTAACAAAATCAACCCCTGAATCTCTTTTCAATTCCTCCATTCTTACTGCTGTGCCATTCTTATTTTTTTAATTTTATCTTTTAGTTGTAGATGGACACAATGCCTTTATTTTACTTATTTTTATTTTTATATGGTGCTGAGGATCAAACCCAGTGTCTCATAAGTGCTAGGCAAGCGCTCTACCACTGAGCTACAACCTCAGACCATGCTGTGCCACTCTTGCTTGGAGAATTAGCACCCCGATTTCCTCTTCATTCTAAATCATTTTCCACACTACACAGACTGAAATTTTTACAACACAAATCAGATCATGTTTATAAACCATTTGAGGGTTTTCCAGTCTAGAAAATTCTTAATATGATCCACAAGGCCACATGTATGAGCTAGCTCCTACCTACCTTATCAGCCTCCCACTACTCTGCCACAAAACCCATTACTTAATTCTCCTGCACAGAACCTATTGACATTACAATAATTGTTAATATAATACAATATATAATGTACACTAGATGACAGTAGAAGCCAAATCTTTCACTATTTTCTCAAGATTTAAATTCTTTTTTTTTTAAAAATATTTATTTATTTATTTATTTTAGTTTTCGGCGGACACAACATCTTTGTATGTGGTGCTGAGGATCGAACCCAGGCCGCACGCATGCCAGGCGAGCGCGCTACCGCTTGAGCCACATCCCCAGCCCCAAGATTTAAATTCTTAAAACCTGTTCCTAACAATGGTTCACACACACTCAGGGACTGGGGCTGTGGCTCAGCAGTAGAGTGCTTGCTTGGCACGCGTGAGGCACTAGGTTTGATCCACAGCACCACATAAAAATAAACAAATAAAACAAAGGTATATGTCCATCTACAACTTAGATTTTTAAAAAATTAAAAAAAACTATTATAACTCAGAATTTCCAAATTCACACCTGACAATCACTATACTTATTTATAAAAATATTTAGCAGTTAAATGCAATGGGAAGCTTAAAGTTAAGATTCTTCTAATCAAAGTAAATTTGTCTCCCAAATGCTGAATTTTATCAGGTCCAAGGTCCATACTAAGCTGATTATCAATCTTTATTAAGGGCTAAAAGGAGAGACCACACATAACCATCTAGTCTCACTATGCACACAATAGACCTATAGAAGTCATGTTACCTAATCTAACAATCTCATTATCACCTTATTTTATAGATGAAGATACAGGCTCACAGGGGTTAAAAAACATCCTCAAAGACAAAGCTAAGAGGCTGGGATTATGGCTCAGTGGTAGAGCGCTCGCCTAGCATGGGTGGGACCTGGGTTTGATCCTCAGTACCACATAAAAATAAAGACATTGTATTGTGTCCATCTACACCTAAAAAATAAATATTTAAAAAAAGACAAAGCTAATATGGGACAGAGAACAAATTGACACAGGTCAAGTGACTTGATTTCATACTCTTTCAACCACAATTCAACATCTTCAAAGATTATCCCAACTATAAATTTTTTAGACATTAGAAGATACAATCTAACCAGTCTTTCTCTAAGAAAAAAAAAAAAAAAGCGGGGGGGGGGATACTTTATCCCAATACCTCTACAATTAAAACAAAGTTTAGTGTTTTTATGTTTTAGATTGAAAGATAAAAAAATAAACAGTACTTTCTCCTTACCTTAACCTCTCCAGCCATTTTATCAATTGCAAATCCCTCTACTGAGAGCTGAAAAACAAGGTTTTTAAATAGTAAGTGAAATCAAAAAAGGCTAGGAACAAACTTTCATTTACCCTAAAAAAATGAATTATTTTGTTATCTTCAATACTTTAGTTTGTTATAGAAGGTAAAGGAGAGGGATGCAGAAGCCCTTAAACAAATCCAATAATTATTTGGGGAATCTCTTAAAAAGAAAGAACCTTTGGGTCTATTGAATCATGGATATTGCTCAATAACATCCATGATTATCAACCTACTCAAATAAAAAAATTCACACACCTTTATTAGTCTGGATATTAAGAACCCTCCCTGGTATCGATTATAAAGTTCTTCCCAGTTGTCCTTTATGAATTTCCATGCAGCTTTCCTCCCATGCTTGCTGCCTCCAGCTACTCCACCAATTACTGATACAGTATCCTGTGGACGTACCTCTTCCTAAGAAGAGAAAGAGATTAAAAAGTCTAGCATTTCCACAACATCTTCTGGTTCCAGAAAGTGCAACATACTGTTGAAATACCTAAGTGACCACATCAAAGACATGCATTCTTTGTTTTTAGGAATAAATGGCACCAGAAGCTTGTAGAGAAAGCATTTGTTTTCTCTCCCAAATACTCTGATTTTGAGTCTCATTATTAGTGGGAGATAAGAGAAGTCAGTTAAAAAAGTTTATACCAGTTTTCCAAGAAGAAGACGCCTTAATCTAAGTTAAGGGCAGATCAAGAGGATACTGAATCAAAGACACTTGCCACAGATGAGTGAGTAACAACTCCCTCTGAAAGCAGTTTTCCTTGTAACTTACTGAAAGTGCAAATGTAAGGACTTTTTGAATCAGTTCAGGCAAAAGAGTAGCCCCAAGAACCCTTTCAATTCGGTTTTTCTCTTCTTGCATATCTGCTTGTTTGTGAAGCTATAGGGAAAAAATAAAAACAGAGACAGTTAGCTATTCCCAGGAAATTCTCCATATGCTTATATAAGCTTCCCCTTCAATAAGGTAAAACACTGGGTAGGACTGTCAAGGTATAACATTAAAAAGAATACTTGTCGTGTGCTGGGCTTGTGGCTCAGTGGTTAAGCGCTTGCCTTGCATGTGTGAGGCACTGGGTTCAATCCTCAGCAATGAATAAATAGGTTAATAAAAGATATTGTGTCCATCTACAACTAAAAAAAATATTAAGAAAAAAAATACTTGTCAAGATGGTTGGGCACTAAATTTGTCCCTTGCCATTACAGTCAGTCAGTCATGAAATGTAAGTGCTCAGTAGATAAATAATAGTAGCCTGTCATCAGTTCTAAGCAGTTTAACATCAACATATAAAGAGTACATCTGTCCTGGCCAAATACTTTCTAGCACTGATATCTGGTCTATGTTTTATGAACAAAACTAATCATTGGTAATCTTATACCATTCAAGATCATCAATTTAATTTATAATAGTGAAAATGAAAATAATCTAAATACCCAACAGCTTTCCTAATTACTTATTCATTTTTAAAAAGATGCTTTTCTAACGGGGGGGGGGGTATACTGGGAACTGAACACTGGGGGTACTTTATCACTGAACTACATCCCCAGTCCTTTTTTGGGGGGTACCAGGGATTAAACTCAGGGGCACTCAACCACTGAGCCACATCCCCAGCCCAATTTCTGTATTAGAGACAGAGTCTCACTGGGTTGCTTAGCACCTCACTAAATTGCTGAGGCTGGCTTTGAACTTGCGATCCTCCTGCCTCTACCTCCTGAGCGGCTGGGATTACAGGCATGCGCCACCATGCCCAGCAGATCCTTTAAAAAAATTCTTTACATTTTGAGATGGGGTCTAGCTAAGTTGCCCTGGCTGGCCTCGAACTTGTAGTCCACCTGCTTCAGACTCCTGAGTTACTAGAACTACAGGCATATGCCACTATGCCTGGCTCAAAAGATGCACTATAGAAGGTTACATTTTAGGAATATTTCATGACATAAGCATGTTCTTTTCTTTTTTTAGTTGTAGATGGACATGATACCTTTATTATCTTTATCTTTATGCGGTGCTGAGACTCAAACCTAGGGTCTCACACATGCAAGACGAGCGCTCTACTATTAAGCCCCAGCCCCAGCCCCCATAAGCATGTTCTTGATATTGAAATGAAAAAAAAAAAGAGAGACAAAGCAAATAATCCTATATATATAAAAAAAATGTAATGTGAAGGGTAAAAACTTGAAAACACACCAAAATGCTAATACTAATTAATGATGGTCTCTGATCAATGGCATCATGTACCTTCACATTTCTTTCTTTTCTGGAGTGCTGGGGATTAAACTCAAGGCCTTGCACATACCAGGCAAGCACTCTACTACTGAGCTATACCACTAGCCCTCTTCACGTTTCTTTTTTTTTTTTTTTTTGGTACCTGGGATTGAACCCAGGGATATTTAACCACTGAGTCACATCCCCAGTCCTTTGTTTGTATTTTATTTTGAGACAGGGTCTCACCAAGTTGCTTAGAGCCTCGCTAAATTGCTGGAGCTGGCTTTGAACTCTAATTCTTCTACCTAGCCTCCCAAGCCACTAGGATTATAAGTTGCCACTATGCCTGGCCCTCTTCACATTTCTTAACTGTAAAAGCAGCATATACTGAATGTGGAATATTAATAAGACAGAGATGCATAAAGAAAAAGTAAAATTACTACTATATGCACACTGCCAAACCTGGAATGAGATTATATTATACATGCTATTTTGTGATCCACTTTTAAAAAATAATTACAGGTAAGTTTTATTTTCTTCTTTATTCTTTCCTAGTCTCTAAATCTTCTGTAGTGAATACAGAAAATCTTTTTTTCATAGTTAGAAACAAAACATCATATTTTTAAAAATTAGAACTGCAGAGGCTGGGGATGTACCTCAGGGCAGAGCATTTGCCTAGGTTAAAGTAAGTCCTAAGCCTCTCTGGGTTTCAGTTCACTCACCAGTAAAGTGAGGGGGACAAACTGATGATTTGTAAGGTCCTTTCAGCTGCAATATTCAAGGACAGAAATCAAGTTTTCAGGAAGCATCTCTTCCCGGAAGATAACCCTGATATATATTAATCCACCAGGTGGCACTCTAGTACCACATTTAAAATATACTATTAAAAGACATTCAAGCATTTGTTTTAATGCTATTCCTAAATTACCAACAGAAAATAATCACTTGTCATCAAACTGTTTGCTTGTCTGTTTGTTTTTGCAGTGTTGGGGGTTGATCTACAGGTGTCACACTTGCTAGGCAATACTCTACCAATGAGTTATATCTCCAGCCCCACTAAATGGTTTCTTCAAGAATTCTGATTTGAGGCTGGGGTTGTGGCTCAGAGGTAGATCTTTTGCCTAGCATGTATGAAGCACCGGGTTCAATCCTCAGCACCACATTAATAAAATGAAATAAAGGTATTGTGTCAACCTACAACTAAAAAATAAATGTTTTTTAAAAAATTCTGATTCTGCCTTCATTAGAACTCTTCCTGTATTGATACTGTACACTCCCTTATGCTAATAAATGCAACTTCTCGTAAATACATATACTTGTATAAATACTTAAAAATATACCATAATATGAAGATGGTAATTTATGGCTTCTGCCATAAAACTTTCAGAACTGCTGTTTTTTTTTTTCCATACACTTATGGAATAGACTTAAAAACCCCACAAAATATCCCATTTCATATGTATTTCATTCACATGATTTATAATCCACAGGTTCATAGAATTTTCAGACTGAGGAGGGACCTTGATGTCTAATTGAAAAGTAAATCCAAAATATAACTTTTATATTATTAAAAAGAAAACCCATGGATAAACAACATGGGTAAAGTGGTAATTTTTTAAAAAATAAGTATCTTTTTAATTGTGGATGAACCTTTCAGTGCCTCACATATGCCAGGCTGAAAGCACTCTACCACTGAGCAACAACCCCATTTTTTTGAGCCAGGGCCTTGCATTTAAAGTTCCCCAGGATGGCCATGAACCTTCAATCTTCCTACCTTCGTCTTCCAAGTAGCTGGGACTACAGCCCTGCAATACCACATCTAGTTCCCATAGCTTCTTCTTCTTTTTTTTTTTTTTTAGTTGTCGATGGGGCCTTTATTTATTTATTCATATGCAATGCTGAGAATTGAACCCAGTGCCTCACACATGTTAGGCAAGTGCTTTACCACTGAGCCACAATCCCAGCCCCCCCCCCCGCCCAGTTTCTTAATATTTGCATGTCTGCAATAAACATATATTTTTGCCAGGACATTTTGTTCTTTTAACCATTTAAAGCTGTTCTCTGTGTCCATCCAAGTTCAGGAGCCTTTTCCAAATCACCCACCTTTAGCATAATGTCTAAGGTAGTACCATCACCATGCTTCAAAACGGTCAGATAGACCTACAAGACAACAAAGGAAGTTATCTGAGTACATCTACCTGTTTCAAGGTATTTTAACATTACAAAAATACAGAAAGCAAGTAAAAACGTTGCAAGAAGTGTGGAGGTACATACAAATCAGGGTAAGGATATAAAAACCCCATGAACAACCACAGAGACAAATGGCATGTCGTGATAGCATAGCACACCAACTCTCTCTGGGGAATGTGCACAGGGGAATCACCTTTCAGAAGCACCATGTGGCAGAGAAACTTAAATGGCTACAAACCACCCAAATGGGATATGTTAGACATGGCTTGTGGGTCAGTCCTTAGGTCAGTTTTGGTTAGTATTAAAGAAGTTTCATGTTTCATAGAGTAATATAGGTAACTAGAAATCAAAGAAATTTATTGTGGAAACTTACAGGACTCCTCAGGTCAGCAGAGAGAATCTGTTTTCCTTCCACATGATCCTTAAACCGACGACGGGCTTCATCTAACGTTGCCTTGTGTCCTGCTTTTCCTAGTTTGCCCAGAACCAAGCCCCTCAGGAGTGCATCTAGATGACCTGATTGAAAAGTAAAAAAGACATAGGACTATTTAAAAGGACTGTTTTTATTAATTTAGCACCTGAATACTTTATAATTATATTACTCTAAGTCTGTGGTCTTAAATAAACACAATTCCCCTAATACAAGAGACAACACTTGATTTAAATTTAATAAATCGTAAGAGGGAAAATGCTAAACAGACTAGACAAGCAAACTTGCTGACCATCTCTATTCACAAATGCCAATTATCTGGATTTACTAAATGTTACTCAGTCTAGTTAATTATACTGCTAAGGACTGTGTGTGGAAAGAATAGGCTTATTACATCACAAAGCTCTGACACAAGATTCAGAAAAAGATAGTATGTGGAACTAGTATACCCTGTGTATGACAAACTGAAATCATATTTAAAAAATATTTTTGTTATTGATGGACCTTTATTCATTTATTTATTTTTATGTGGTCCTGAGAATCGAACCCAGTGCGTCACACATGCTAGGCAAGTGCTCTACCACTGAGCCACAAACCCAGCCCTAAAATTATATTTTTAAATGAAGGCTAGTTGATGAATTCTTCCAAAGATACATAAACAGTCATTAAGGACATAAAAAGAGTATTACCATTATCATTAGGGAAATGCAAATACAAACCACAATGAGATACTACTTCACACTATGATGGCTACAATCGAAAAGACAGAATATAAACAAAAGTGTTGACAAGGATGTGGAAAAATTAGAGCCCTAAAACACTGCTGGTGGAAATGTACAATGGTGTGGCCATTTAGAAAGACAGTTTGGCAGTTCCTCTGTAGGTTCAACATAGAGTTATCATGTGACCTTGCAATTCTACTCTTAGGTATTTACCCAAGAGAAATGAAAGTTTATGTCTATATAAAAACATATACATAAATATTCACAGAATTCATAATAGCCAAAAAGTGAAACCAATCCAAATGTTTACCAACTGATAAAATGTGCTACATCCCCACAATGAGATATTATTCTACCATAAAAAGGAATAAAGGGGGCTGGGGATGTGGCTCAAGCGGTAGCGCGCTCGCCTAGCATGCATGCGGCCAGGGTTCGATCCTCAGCACCACATACAAACTAAGATGTTGTGTGCGCCAAATACTAAAAAATAAATATTAAAATTCTCTCTTTCTCTCCCACTCTCTCCCTCTAAAAAAAAAAAAGAATAAAGGGCTGGGGATATAGCTTAGTTAGTAGAGTAATTGCTGGGGTTCAATCCCCAGCACCACCAAAAAAAAAAAAAAAAAAAAAATTAGGGCTGGGTATGTGGCTTAGAGGTCAGGTGCCCCTGAGTTCAATTCCCAGTAAACACCCCACCCCATTGCCAAAAAAAAAGGAATGAGATACTGACATTAAGCTACCACCTGGGCAAATGCTAAATGAAAGAAGCCAGGTACACAAGGCCATATACTATATGATTCTACTTATATGAAATGTCAAAAATAGGCAACTTTATGAGAGAGAAGGATTAGTGGCTCTCAGGGAATAGGGATTAACTGCCACTGGGCATGGGGCTTCATTTGGGGTGAAGAAATTGTTCTGAAATTAGAAATGGTGATGATTGTATAAGCTTATTATGAGCATACTAAAAAGCACTGAACTATTTTTTTTTCTTTTGAGATACTGAGGATTAAACCTAAGGCTCTGCACTTACTAGGAAAATACTCTACAACTGAGCTACATCCCTAGTCCTTTTTATTTTGAGGTAGGGTGTCGCTAAGTGGTCTGGAAACATGTATATGTCACCATGACCAACGCAAAAAAGTCAAAATTAGCACACAAATCTGATAGATGTACAATGGAAAATGCAGTATATTCTTACTACCCAGCAGTAAAAGGAATGAACAACCTGTATGTGTCTCAAAAACATGCCGAATAAGAAAAGCAAAATATAACACAATTTCACACAGGATATATTGGTATACTTCTGTAATCTCAGCCATTTAGGAGGCTGAGGAAGGAAGATGGAAAGCTCCAGGCCAATTCTGACAATTTGGCAAGACCCTATCTATAAATAAATAAATAGGCTGGGGATGTAGCTCAGTGGTAGAGCACTATTGGGTTCCATCCCCCGTACTTGGAGGGGGGGGAGAAATATGTATATGTGTATGAGATTCTACTTGTATGATAGACAACATTAATCTACGGTGAAAGTAATTAAAATAGTGTTTGTCTGGATAGGGTGATCAAGTAGCAGGGACTGGTTTAGAAGGGGCCTGAGGCTACTTTTAAAGAATAGAAATGTATGCATTTGTCAAAAGTCATCAAACTGGGGGACTAGGGATATAGCTCAGTGGTAGAACACTTGCCTAGCATATGCTGAAGCCCTATACTGACAAAGAAATGGGGGCAGAAGGTATCATCGAGCTAGACAGAACACTGACGTTACACATTTTTGCTATATTTAAATCATAATTCAATAAAAAGTAAGTTTAAGAAAACTTACCAAGAGATCCAAAACAAAACAAAAAACAATTTATAACTCTGGCTCTGGTACTGACTTGCTATGTGGTGGAAGATGATGTTTTATTATTTTGCTTTTTGATTCTTTCATCTGATAGAAAACTATATCATTTTAAAAATTTTTTGGTTTTAGTTATATATGGCAGTAGAATTAATTTTGACAAATTTTTTTAAAGAGAGAGAGAATTTTTTAATATTTATTTTTTAGTTTTCGGTGGACACAACACCTTTATTTTTTATTTTTATGTGGTGCTGAGGATAGAACTCAGTGCCCCGTGCATGCCAGGAGAGCGTGCTACTGCTTGAGCCACATCCCTAACCCAATTTTGACATATTTATACATGACATATACCTTATTCTAATCAGGATCCCAGTCTGGTGGAGTATGTACAATGTTGAGATTCACTGTGGTGTATTCATGTGTACACATAGGAAAGTTATATCAGATTCATTCTATTGCATTTCCTATTCCTATCTCCCCTCCCTTCCCTTCTTTCCCCTTTGTATAATCCATTGAACTTCTATTCTTCCCCTTACCAATAGCATCCATAACACTTATCCTTTAATCTTCTGGGATTGGATTATTTCACTTAGCATATAGTCTCCAGATCCATCATACTGATGAATGTCATAAAAATATTCTTCTTTATGGCTGAGTAATATTCCATTGTATATATAAACCACATTATCTTTATCCATTCATCTGTTGATGGGCATCTACATTGGTTCCATAGCTTAGCTATTTATGAAGTGTGCTGCTAGAAACATTGATGTGGCTTCCCTGTATCTATCATTCATTCATTCATTAATTTATATATATATATAAAATTTAGTTGTAGTTGGACACAATAACTCTATTTTGCTTATTTATTTTTAAGTGGTACTGAGGATTGAACCCAGGCCCCACACATGTGAGGCAGGCACTCTACCACTGAGCCACAAACCCAGCCCCTCCTATATCATTTTTACATATTTTTTCATTGTAGATGGTCACAATACCTTTATTTATTTATTTATTTATTTATTTATTTTTATGCAGTGCTAAGGATCACACTCAGTGACTCACACATGCTAGGCAAATGCTTTACCACAGAGCCACAATTCCAGCCCCTCTTATTATTTTTTTTTAATATTTATTTTTTAGTTGTAGTTGGACACAATACCTTTATTTATTTTTACATTGTGCTGAGGATGGAACTCAGGGCCAATGGAACTCAGGGACTCACACATGCTAGGCAAGTGCTCTACCACTGAGCCATAACCCTAGCCCTGCCTTCTGTATAATTTTTAAGCTCAAAAGGTTTCACACATTATCATGATAAAAGGAAAGTACAATGCCTATTAATTTACTTACATCTTGTTATTATTAATCTGTGCTCCTGTCTAAAGCCAACTTCTCTACTGTGCACTGGGATCCAATTCCTCTCCATTATTCAGCTGCCACTCTCTTCCAACGTGAATTTTCAATACTACACATTACTTTCATTGGTAAAAAGACATGAAATATCCCAACTTTAAAAAAAGAGAAGTCCGGGGCTAGGGTTGTGGCTCAGTAGTAGAGCGCGCACCTAGCACGTGCAAGGCCCTAGGTTTGATCCTCAGCACCACATAATAAAGCTATTGTGTCTAACTACAACTAAAAAAAGTCCTTCCCGGAGCCCACATTTCTCAAGACTACACTCTTTTCTCTGATTCTCTTTTTAGCAAAATTCTTTTAAAAAGTTTTCTAGATGTGTGGCTCCATTTCATCTCCTCCCATTGCAGAGAAAGCACTATTGTTTCCTATCATCTCATAAAGTCTGTTAAATGCAATCACTAATTCTGCATCCTTTTCTTGACTTAGAGAGCTTTTATACAGCTGATTACTTTCCTTCTGTTTTAATATGCTGTTTATGTCTTGGGATACTCCTTTCCCTCCTGGCTCTCCTCCTGCCTCATTGGCCAGTCTCCTTTATAGATTCTTCCTTTTCTACCTAATCTCTCAATCTGGACTTCCTTAGGATCCAGTCCTCAGTTCTCTTTTTTCCATCTAAACTCATAGTTTCATAGCTGCAAATATTATCTACTTGCTAATGACTCCCAAATGTATTTATCCAACCTGGATTTTGAGGAATTCTATGTTCAGATGTCTAACATGACCTCAAATTTAATATGCCTCAAACCAAACTCCTGATTGATTCCTTTTTGTACCCAAAGGTGCTTCTATGGCAGTTTTAATTTGATGACTCCTCTCTCAACCACACATTCTTTTTAGCAAAATTCTTTTAAAAAGTTGTTTAAAATAAAATAGTTTGTTCTACCTTCAAACTTCACACAGAACTTACTAACTACTTATAAGTTGTAGCCAGCACCTCAAATGGATTCATCAGATAGCCTATTTTTCTTTTTTTTGTTTTGTTTTTTCCTGCAGTGCTGGAAATTGAGTTCAGAGCATGCTAGGCGAGTGTTCCACCACCAAGCTATATCTGCCTTCAGCCTGTTCTTCGCATACCCAAGTACATCAAATCATGTTCCTCTACCCAAAACTCTAAATTATCACCTCAAGTCACAAAATATGAAAGTCAAAAACTTCTTACCACGGGTCTACAAGTCCTGTAAGATCTAGTACACTTCCCATGTTCCTCCCTCTCTCATTTACTCTGTTCTGACCTTACTAGCCTTCTTTTTTTTTTAAAAAAAGAGAGTGAGAGAGGAGAGAGAGAGAGAGAAAGAGAGAGAATTTTTAATATTTATTTTTTAGTTCTCGGCGGACACAACATCTTTGTTTGTATGTGGTGCTGAGGATCGAACCCTGGCCGCACGCATGCCAGGTGAGCGCGCTACCGCTTGAGCCACATTCCCAGCCCCTTACTAGCCTTCTTGTTATTCCATGTTCCCACCTTAGGCATTTGTCAGTCCCTCTGTCTGGACCATTTCCCCCCTAGATATCTTTATACTTCTCTCTTTGGTATCTCTACTTAGATTTAAAGATTACCTTATTAGCGATTTCCCCAACTGCTCTCTATAAAATAGTGGTCTAGTACTCCTTATTTGCCTTACCTGGCTTTGTTTTTCTTCATGATACTTGCTATCAACCCAGAACAGTATATATTTAATTGTTTGCTGTGTCTCCCACTAGAATATAAACCATACAGGGCAATGTTTTGCTTTCTGCTGTATCAGCAGCTTCTAGAATAATACTTGGCATATAAGTTGCATAAATATTTGTTGAACCAATGAAAGACAAAGAGTGCTTAAGTACTGTTACTACTGTCCTTATTTCAAAAGACTCTCAAATTAAAATTAGGAGAAAGTACCACCTTTAACTATTAGAAGATGGTAAAAAATAATTGTATTTGGAGTCTTCAAATCACCATTCTTAACATTTAAATGATAGCAAAAAGAGTAAATATGTGATTACAGAAATAATGATGGAGGAGAACATGTGTAAAAAAGCAATTAACTTCCTTAATTAAGAAAGCTGGCCCCTGTGTCTCTTAGCTGTAATCTTGAGTTACAAGTTGTATATAAGGTGCCTAGTAGTATGGTAATATAAATAAGAAAAATAACTCAAAATTCCCATTAACTTTTCTTGACTATAAATGTGCGTTTGGAACACTTTATTTTCAATACTGTATAAATTACATGTAGCAATAAATATATATGTAAGTACTACTGCACCGATGGTGATGACACGTTAACTTCACCAGCAGACTTGGATGACTTGAGTTTTAATTTCTGGCAGTTGAATATATAGTAACATCTTACAAATATAAAGATAATTTTAATTAAGTTGTTAACTACAGGTGAATAAAAAAGTACCAGTTTCTGACTGATTTTTTTTCCCCATTAAGTACATCCATTACCTTCTCCAGGTTTGGGGTCCCAGCCCAGTCTCTCCCCTATAGGTGAAAAGACATCTTTCACAAACTCCTGGATTTCCTCATAGAAGTCTGTGTGGGACAAGAGAGTTGAGAGAATCCCCAGGTTACAGCTCAGGTCGCTCCATACAGTATAATTGGGCTCATTCACAAAAGCCTCCATGACTTTTAGAACCTCTACAGTGCTAATGATTCCAGCTCGAGCCTGGGATAGGAAAAAACATAAATTAACCTAGTCTTCAAAAAACAAAACAAAAAATAAGCATGTATTTTCAGCATAATCTACTGCTTATACTTTTTTTGGTTTGAGGAAATGAGACTAAATAAGTTCAGAAGAACACCATTGAAATAAAATTCCTGTTATGAAAATATCCCTTACTTCTTCACTATTTATAAAAGAACTACTTTAAAAATTATACTAAACTCCCCTACTTGAGGAACAACAACAATAAACCAGTTAACTTCATATTTCTACTTGGTTTCTGGGCCCCTGATTTTGTTTTGAAATTTTTCATATCTTCAAAAAAACTACAAAAATAGTTGGGGCTTTAATTCTTGACAGAGGCTCTTTCAAAGCTGGACCTTAAAAACTGTGTCAACTTAAGCCTCTCCTTTACTCATTTCCAAAAGAGCACAAACTGGAAGGCACTACAAATTGAGAGTTCTTTCAGCACTAACTAATGGAGTTGGGAAAAAGAACTTCTGTTACAGCAGCCAACTGCACAAATGACCCACTCTCCTGGGACAGGTCTCTCTTGGCAAAGAGATCAGAAGATGTAAAGTTTTCAGCATCAATGCTAATCTATGTTTATACAAAGGAGGAATCTAAAACCAGTGATTGCAGAGGGCAGGGAAAATTTCAAGTTCAATTGAAAGGAACACTAGGAGGAACGTAACAATTTTATCATAGTCAAAGACATCCAGAAATTATAAAACCTATGTTGGAGTCACAAAAATAATACTACTAGCTACTGCTTTAAGTCCTTTCTGGAATAAAACCAAATATAAATATATTTCTAAGTTAATACACACTATAATTTGAATAATAACAAAACTACAAAAGTTCTAGCTTTTCCTGCAAACTACTTTAGAAAAAACATAAAATCATCCTAAATTACTGCCAGATGTAGTGGTGCGTGAATGCAGGCACGCACGCCTGTAATCCCAGTGACTGGGAAGGCTGAGGCAGGAAGATCATAAATTCAAAACTAGCCTTATAGCAGTTCAGTGAGACCCTAGGCAACTTAGCAAGACTTCAGTCTCAAAATAAAAAAATAAATAAAAGGACTGGAGATGTGGATCAATGGTTAAGTGCCCCTGATTTTAATTCACAGTACCTCTGCCCTCCACCCAAATCATTGAAATATTAAAAAAAAAAAAAAAAGTAGGGAAATTTCTTAAAGGCTTATATCTATTTCTATTTAAAAGAAAGAACTTTTTGTCTTATAAAGAATGGTTTGACTAAAGATAATTAAAAAAAAAACTGGCTTAGGAGTAGTGAAATGGTATTTGCTTCTGGTAAATTTTATAGATCCAATCTTGTCATTTAATTACTAACAGTCATTTGCTCCTTTCCCAAAGGTGTTCACATTCAGAAGAACCATATTCTTCTAATTATGCTTTAGACACTCCAGGAAAAACAAGATCCTTTAATCAACAAAATCTATCATATTACTTAAATGAGAGACACTTACCAAGGAGAAGAGGTCATTCTGTAATCCAAGTCGATCCACAGGAGGCAGAGAAAGGTCCCGAATGCCTGGTAATAAACTTTCCAGCATGGCAGAGCTATATTGGGTTCGATAAAATCCAACAGTTCCCAGATTTAACTGAAAAGATATCCAATAGGCACTATTAAATGCTTCTATTTATTTTATTTTATGTCTTTTTTGAACTTCCATTTATTTAACAAATCAACCTTTTGTATGTGTAAAATGAATTATGCTTTTAGATATATTTGTGTTAAAAATAACAAAGATCACACATGCTAACGAGTAGGGATTAAAACACAGAGCCCACAAAGTTAGCAATCAGTTGTCCAAAATAAATGCAAAGGCAAAAAAAACCAGAAACTTGTAACAATAGGGGCCAAAGTGAGGGATAGTAGGAAGAACATGGGAGAAAGAGAGAGAATAATGTTGGCTAAATTTCTATTTCTAATCTCAATGGATCGTTATAGATTTATAGAAAATATTTACTATATATAAAAGCACTTGATAGAAGACTCTCTGAGAAAGATTAAGCTTTTACAAACATTGAGTAAAAAGCCTCAACAATTTCATATTTTAAATTTTAACCTCCAGGAAGAACCATATTTTTCTAATTATGTCTCAGACACTCCAGGTGGAATAAGAACCTTTAATCAAAAAAATCTATCATATTATTTAGGTGAGAGATGCAATAAAGGTAATTTCATATTATTTTTGGAGTAAGGTAACCACTGATTTCTCTATAGGCTATTTACAAACAACTTAAACCATTTTTCTTTCCTTTTTTTTTTTTTGTGACTGGGATTGATTGCATTTGTTAGGCAAGTACCCTACTACTGAGCTACAACCAAAAATATTTTTGAAAATACTTATATACAGTATAGTATAATGGTAAAATAAGAAGACATAAGTATTTTACTTCTTTTAATATTTATATTTTAGTTTTAGGCAGACACAATATCTTTATTTTTATGTGGTGCTGAGGATCGAACCCAGACCTCACATGTGCTAGGTGAGCACTCTACCACTTGAGCCACAACCCCAGCCCTAAATATTTTATTTCTTATAAATATTTTAAAAAATCATCCTATAATTCTAATGTAACTTTTATTTTATTGATTTCCCCCCCCTTTTTTCCTCTCCCTCTTTCATTTTGTAATGCTGGGGATTGAACCCAGGACCTTGCGTATACCAGATAAGTGCTCTACCACTGAGGTATGCCCCTCAGCCTCTATTTTATTGATTTCCTTTATCTTCTTTTTTTTTTTTTCCTGTGTGGTGGTACTGGGAATTAAACCCAGAGATGCTCTATCACCAAACTACATTCCCATCCCCTGCCCTTTTTTAATACCTTTATCCCTGCCACTGAGCCATAATCCCAGCCCTTTTTTATTTCTTAATTTTTTGGTACCAGGGGATTGAACTCAGGGACACTTGACCACTGAGCCACATCCTCAGCCCTATTGTGAGACATGGTTTAAGTTGCCCAGGTTAGCCTTGAACGTGGAATCGTCCTGTCTCAGTTCACTGAGTGGATGAGATTATAGGTGTTTAAAGTTGTAAGTCCACAAATGTTTTGGCTAACATGACTTTATACAGAGTCTATTATTTTTCTTTTCCACTTCAGTCTTATTCTGTTTTATTTGCTTATCTACCACACCCTTATCTAATTAAGAGCACATATCTGGATTATACTATTTGAAAAACAGCCCTAAATTTCACAAAGTTTTAGAATTGAAAGTCCTAGTCTATGGGGCTGAAATGTAGCTCAGTGGTAGAGCACTTGCCTAGTATGCATTAGTATACATGAAACCTGAGTTCAATCCCTGCACTACGCCTTCCTCCCCCAAAAAAGTCTCAGTCTAAACTGGAGCAGTAAAATTTAGAGAGAGTTATAAAATGCATTAAAGAAATCAGTTCAGATAAGGTAAAAATGGCTCTGCCATTTCTGGACTCACCTTAACCCACTGGTCTGATTTGACATTTTTCAAAACCACATTCATCTCTGGCTTATCCATTAGAATTTTAAGTTTGGCCTGATTGGGATCTTCACTAGTAGAGATTGTGATAGGAACCATCCACTGGGGACAGTCTTCTCCTAATCAAGAGAAGAACAAACAGAAAACCTGAAAATTAACTTTATCCTGGAAGAAATAGATGGTAAAATGTAGAGAGGACTGGTGTTGTTCTAGCCAGGGGCCCAAATTTAGGTGGTAAGCCAATAGCTCATTCTTAGTGCTACAGAAACTCTCCCAGCTAACCCAAATATTAGTGGAAAGGAAGATATAACTAGTGAAATAATAACAGCCTAAAAAAAAAAAAAAAGGAGAGCAGTTAACTCATAGAATCACAAATACAACGATTTAACCTTAATCATTGTTTTCCCTTCACAAAGCAATAGACATAGCAATGATTTTACTGTGAAAATAAATTTTGAGTAGGTGAAAGTGTTCCCATTGCATTGCATTTAAAAAACAATTTTAAGGTGCAGTCTTTAATGGGTATACACACTGATGAAACACTGATATTTATTGCTATGATACAACACATCCTGGGAGCTGTTGCATTCTATTAATGAGGAGTCATATCTAAAAGTCAAAGCATTTGTAAGGCAGAAATACTATTTTAGATATCAGGCAGCAAAACAGACTTGCATTAAGATGCCAAACAAGAGTCCTTACCAAGTACATTAACAGTTATTTAAATAGTTGCATACTTAACATATGTAAGTTATATAGCCTAATTATCAGGCTAAACAACAAATTAAATCCCTCCCCTTCACACACTATTCAGGTTTTAATGTTGTTTATATTTGTCACTGAACATTATAAAAGCCTGTAAAACCTATCAGTATTTCAAAGCAGATTATAGGTATGAGGTAGAAAACAGCAACTATGACCCTTAAGGATTTATTTGGATATATTGTTTGACTTGTAAGGCATTTATTTCATTAAAAAAAATCTTTTATAATACTGTGAATTTAACCTAGGAGCACTTTACCACTCAGCTATATCCCCATCCTTTTTAAAAAAATTTTACAATTTTGAGACTGGGTCTCACTAAGTTGCTTAGATCAATGCTAAGTTGTTGAGGCTGGCCTCAAACTTGCGATCCTTGTATTTCTGCCTCCTGAATTGCTGGGATTACAGGTATGCACCATCACTCCCGACTTGTCAGACCTATTTATTATAAGAGTAATTCTAACGTTTTAAGAAGAGTTAAGGGCAGAGGCCATACTTCTTAATCCTAGGAGGATGCATCAGATCTTGAGGGTAGAACATGACAAGGCATTGGTGATGATAACATATACTTCTCTCTGTTGAGAACTACCATTCAGAGAAACACTTTACTTTTGGTTTTTTTTCAATCAAACTTTAATTTCCTGGATAAAATTTTATAGGTAGGGAGTCTAATGTGTTTGAAAAAGTGTGAGTTAAAAACATGAATTCATGGGCTGGGGCTGTAGATCAGTGGTAGAGCGCTTCCAGCCTCAGAACCACATAAAAAAATAAATAAATAGACAGATAAATAAATAAAGATATTGTGTCCATTCCTGTGACAAAATAAAAAAATATTTAAAAAATAAAAACATAAACTCAGGGTTGGGGAGGTAGTTAATTGGTAGAGTGTTTGCCTAAATGGCAAAGCCCTGGGTTCAATCCACATGTGGAGGGAAAAAAAGCAGAACTCATGGGGTTCAATTATTTTGTTTCAATTTCCTCCCTTGCCCTTTTATGTGTGTATGGGAGGGGCATTTGCAGTCTTCCTGCTTCAGCCTCCCAAATTGCTGGGATTACAGGCACATGCCATTGTGCCCAGCTAATCTCCACTTGTACCTTATTCGATAAGTGACCTCAACCAATTTAACCTAGTTGTACCTCAGCTCTCTCATGTGCAAAATGAAAATAATACCACCTATATATTTTTTTTTTAAGAGAGTGAGAGAGAGAGAGAGAGAGAGAATTTTTAATATTTATTTATTTTTTAGTTCTCGGCAGACACAACATCTTTGTTGGTATGTGGTGCTGAGGATCGAACCCGGGCCGCACGAATGCCAGGCGAGCGCGCTACCGCTTGAGCCACATCCCCAGCCCAATACCACCTATATTTAAGCCATCCACTTAAGTACACCAGAAATCCTCTTTTATGGATTAAGACTAGATATCACTTCTTAGATGTTCTAATTCTTCATTATAGACTCCAATAATACATGGACACATGAGATTTTTTTAAGAAAGTAATTAAATACTACAAATAGCGTGTTGAATCTTATATTTTGATTTCTTAAGTCTCACTTTTATCCTTTTACCATCTCCTTGTTTTTATTAGTTCCATTATAACTATAAATAATGGATAATAATGCCAGGTGTGATGGCACATGCTTATAATCCCAGTGGCTCAGGAGGCTGAGGCAGGAGGATTTTGAGTTCAAAGCTAGCTGTTAGCAACTTAAGCAACTTAGCAAGACCCTGTCTATAAATAAAAAATAAAAAGGGCCGGAGATGTTGTTCAGTGGTTAAGCACCCTTGAATTCAATCTGTGGTCTGGGGGGTAAAAAAAAAAAAAAAAAAAAGGATAATATTTCCTATTAGTTGGAACCCACAACTGATACCCCAAATCATCAATTACCTCCCATTTATAGCCATTTGCTTACCAACATAAGGTCCACTGGCACAGAACTTCTTTTGGGACAACTTCAGTAATCTGTCATCTTCTACCTAAAGAAACAAAGTAAAGACTATAATAGCATCAACACTTTTGGAGCAGTGGGAGGAATATTCCTGTGATAAAGTAGATGACGGAACCAACAGAACCAAATGACTGATAAATACACAAAATGCAGCGATGATGAAGATGATGTACTATAGAATCTGTATTCCAAAAAAAGGCTGGGGCAGGATGTAGCTCAGTGGTAGAGTGCTTGCCCAGTATACATGGGCCCTGAGTTCCATCCCCAGCACTTCGAAAAAAATACATAAATAAATAGCTAGTTGTGGTGGTGCATGCTTCGAATCACATCAATTCAAGAGGCCGAGGCAGGAAGACTGCAAATTTGAGGTCTCTCTTGGAAACTTAGTAAAACACTGTTTTAAAATAAAAATTAAAAAAAAAAAAAAAAAAAGGATGAGGGATGTGGCTCAGTGGTTAAGTGCCCCTGGGTTCAATTCCTGGCACCATAAATCAATCAATCAATCAATTAATAATGGGTTTGTGGGGGCACTCAGTGGTAGAATGCCCCTGGATTCAATCTTTAGTACTGCAAAAAAATAAATATTAGGGGGCTAAATTGTGGCTCAGTAGTAGAGCACTTGCCTAGCATGGGTGGGACCTGGGTTTGATCCTTGGTACCACATAAAAATAAAGGCATTGTGTTGTGTCCATCTACACCTAAAAAAAAAAAAACATTAAAAAAAATACATATTTAAATAAATAAACAAATAGATAAATAGATATTAAGGCTGAAGCTATGGCTCAGCGGTAGCGCACTTGCCTGGAATGTGTGAGGCACTGGGTTCGATCCTCAGCACCGCATAAATAAATAAATAAATAAATAAATAAATGTCCATTGATAGCTATTTTTTTAAAAAAATTAACAAAATAAATAAATAAATGGCAAATGTCCATGTAATATGACCCCTCAAAAGGGATGTATACCCAGTTGAGATGTTCCTAAAAGCAATGTATTAGTTTTCAAGGTATACAACACAATAAACAAGTTATATTAATCTTTATAAAGAAAGTCTTAAACTTTAGTCTTAAACTTCTAAGAAGCAGCAACATTACATTGGCATGTGGACTCACTATTCAAAATTTAAAATGCTTGTTAAACATGAAATAGGCATACATGTTGTTTCAAAGGATGAATTCTGCAATAAAACAAAAAGTGTGTGTGTGTAGATTGGGGGGCAGGCACTGAAAATAACTAAAAAGCCAGAACCAACAATAGCAAGTTCATCTGTTTAAAAAAATACTTCAACAGCTGGCCTTTAATCCCAGCAATTCTAGAGATAGAGGCAGAGGGATCACAAATTCACAAATTCAAGGCCGGCCTGGGCAACTTAGTGAGACTCTGTCTCAAAATAAAAAATAAAAAGGGATGAGGATGTAGCTCACTGGTTGAGTGCCCCTGGGTTCAATTCCTAGTACTGCATTTAAAAGAAGAAAAGAGGGCTGGGGCTGTGGCTCAGTGGTATCGCATTTGCCTGGTATCTGTGAGGCACTGAGTTTGATTCTCAGCACCACGTATATTAAATAAAAAAATAAAGATCTATCAACAACTAAACAAAAATATTTAAAAAAAGAAAAAAAACTATATGTTAGAGAGTTCTTCTACTTTCAAAAGAATTAAGTCACAGATAGCCTTTTATTTATTTATTTATATGTGGTGCTGAGGATCAAACTCAGTTTGTCTCTAAGTAAAAAAATTTAAAAATAAAATGGCTTAGGGATGTGGCTCAGTGGTTCAGTGCCTAACACATGCTAGGCTAGCACTCCACTGCTGAGCTACAACCCCAACCCCACAGAGAGCCTTTTTATTATAATATAAAATGGGTGAGTTTAGCTCTGTACATAGACAAAAAAACAACAAAAGAAATAGAGCAACACCTTTAAGTAACTAGATGGGGAAAGTAAGCTCAGTTTCAGTAACACTAAGAAGCAGTGGTATTCCTGTTTTCTATTTGATAACAACTATGCTCTTAAAAGTGTGCACTGGAGGCAGGCATGGTGACTCATGCTTATAGTCCCAGATACTGAGATGAGACAAGATCACAAATTTAAGGCCAATCTAGACAACTTGGTGAGACTCTGCATCAAAATTAAAATTACAAGGGGGCTCAGGGAAGTAGCTCAGTGGTAGAACACCTATCTAGCATATATAAGGCTTTGGGTTCACCCCACAGTCCCCCCTCGAAAAAAAATTTTTTAAAATATACTTTTAGATTTTGATGAACATGCTAGGCAAGTGCTCTACCACTGAGCCACAACCCCAGATTCCCCGCTTTGAAGAAAAAAATTAAAACTAAGAGTTCACACTATATGTTATCATTAAACAGTTTAATAGTTTTGAGGAATGAAATATTTAGAGATGAAAAGAACAATCATCTTTGTATGCTAATATCTTTCTTCTTTTTTGAGTCATTGGGATTACAGGTATGTCTTATTTTGAGACAGAGTCTTGATAAACTGATGAGAGCCTTGCTAAATTAAGGAGGCTAACCTCGAACTTGCAAACCTCCTGCCTCAGACTCCAGAGCCCCTGGAGTTACAGGTATATACCACCATGGCTGGCTTGCTAATATTAAACAAGTCAGGTAGAGAGATAACTACTTGTCAAATCTATATGGAATGTCGAGTATAATCATATATCATGAGTCATCTCATAATAGACTTTTCTCCTAAGTAGACAAAAGAAGATTAAAAGAAACACAATATAGGTCACTAAACTTAGAGGTAATCTAGTCCACCAAATATATAAATTACATTCCCTAAGTTGACATTTCAAATCCTTGCAATCATTTAACTGAGAGGTCTTCCAGTATGTCTACTTTATTATAAATCCACTCATATTTTAAGTTAAGATATGGCTCTAGAAGGTTAACTTGCAAGCATCCACATTAAAATGTTCTTTGTAAATGTGGCTGCATTTTGAGAGTGTAAGGGCTGGTTTAAATGTCATGTAGAATACTTGTAAAATTATAAATTTAAAAATTATAAAATTGTAAATACTTTGTAAAATTATACTTGACTTTATGAACAGTTCAAGACAAGAAAAAAAGTTATAAACTCGGCATAGTGGTGCCCACCTGTAATCTCGGCAACTCAGGAGGCTGAGGCAGGACTGCAACTTTTGAAGCTAGCCTCAGCAACTTAGTGAGGTCCTAAGCAAATTAGCAAGACCCTATTTCAAAATAAAAAAACAAATAGGGCTGGGGATGTGGCTCAGTGGTTAAGTACCCTTGAGTTCATTCCTCTGTACCAAAAAATAAAGAGAAGAAAGTGCTATCAATCTTTTTCCTTAAAAATGGATAGCAACTAATTCCCAACACAGCTCACAAAACCTTGACAAACACATTTAAGAGAATAATTTCATAAGTAAAACTGAATTAAGACAAACTTTCTGGTAGGCATTAAGGGTTCATGTGTAATTTTCAGTCCTGCTGGAGAATAACTCATTCTGAAGTACTCCTCTTTAATTCAGGTTCAATCAATCAACATTAAAAACAATATTATAAAAGGAAATTATAAAGGCATATTGAATTTTACCAATTTTTTTTTCTACATTTAATCAAGTGATTACATGGTTCTTCTATTTGGTTCTAGTAATATAGTGAGATTTTCTTTTTTTAAGGTGGGGGTCTCAATGAATTGCCCAGATTGCCCTGAATCTTTTGATTCTTCTGCCTCAGCCTCCCACGTAACTACAATTATAGGTCAGTGCCACTATGCCCAGCTCTTGTAGTAAGACTTTTTAAATATTAAATCAACCTTGTATTTCTAGAATGAAACTCATGTGGGGATTGGGGTTTATTTAGCCCAGTGGTAGAGCACTTGCCTTGCATGCCTAAAACCCTGGATTCAATCTCCAGCACCAAAACAAGAATAAACATCAAGTAGTGTTTTTAGAAGTAAACCAACAAATTTTCACAGTCTTCCTGAGGATAGTACAAGTAGACAATTTTGTTCCCTAACTATGTATAATTTAATGATGTTGGGCAGGGGCAAAGTCACTGAGAAAAGAGTACAAGGTTGGTATAAATTTCACTACAATTTAAAAAGTTCAGAAAAGCAAATTTGGTAACACTAAACTGAATTTCATGCAGTGTAATATCAGACAAATAGGACTTTTTATAAGTTTACCTGTTCTGCTTCCACATAAATGAGAGGGAATCCCATTTGTTTGGTCCAGGTATTCATCACAGCTGCTATGGGTTTGCCACTAGCATTTTCTAAACTTTCCCAAAGATCCTCTGGAAGGCAAATCACAAACAATGATAATCTAAAATGTTTATGTGTTTATTTTCTTAAAGCAAATTAGAAATATTATTTAACTCTTAACACTACAATGCTGACCAATTCTTTGTTTCTTTCAGGTTCAGGAAACAGTAGGCCAAATTAACATCTCCTTATAAAAACTTGGCTTTCAGTCTTTTTAACAAATGGTGCTGGGAAAACTTGTTATCCATATGTAGAAGAATGAAACTAGACCCTTCTCTCTCACCCTGCATAAAAATCAACTCAAAACAGATCAAAGACCTAGGAATTAGAACAGAAACTATTTAACTCCTAGAAGAAAATATAGCATCAAGACTCCAGCATGCAGGCACAGGCAACAATTTTCTTAATAGAAGATCCCTAAAGCTCAGGAAATAATGCCAAGAGTTAATAAATAGGATGGCAGCAAATTAAAAAACTTCTGCACAGCAAAGGAATAATTAGGAATGTAAAGAAGAGGACCTACAAAATGGGAGAAAAATCTTTACTACTCTTCTGACATAAGATTAATATCTAGAATATACAAAAAACTCAAAAAATTTTCACACACACACACACAATAATAATAATAATCCAGTTCCCCAATACCAATAAAATAAAATAAAAATAAATGGGCAAATGAATTAAACAGACACACTTCAAAGAAACGGAAATGACCAGTCAGAATGGTAGTCATCAAGAATACAAATAACAGTAAATGCTGGAGAGGATATAGAGAAAAGAGGAACATTTTTTGGATTGTAAATTAGTACAACCATTACATAAATCAGTATGGAGGTACCTCAACAGATTTAAGCATGGAACCACCATATGACCCAGCTATACCACTTCTCATTATTTATCCTAAAGAATTAGTCATCATACTATAGTGATATATGTATACCCACATTTATAGCAGCACAATTCACAGCAGCCCAGCTATGGAACCAGCTTAGGTGTCCATCAACAGATGAATGAATAAAGAAAATGTCATACACACACACACACACACACACACACACACACACACAC